GTCGCTGCGGTCCACCTCTGAGGTGCATTTGGCGCTCACGTGCTCCCCCACGTGACAACGGTAGCACCTCAGAGGCCGGGTCTCGAGCAGCTTTACCTGCGCCGAGACCCATCCCACCAAGAGCCTTTTGCCCTCCTTCAGCTTCTTGGCCGCTGTGACGGGGCAGCTCACCACCACCGTGCGCAGCCCCGAGTTGTCCGGACGGATGGTGCCCGCCTTGATCTGGTCAGCAGGGCACCCTCCCGTCCTGGCCACAGCGGCCACCACCTCACTTTCCGTGACGGAGTCGTCCAGGCCCAATATCCGGACATCCACACATTTGGTGGGCCTGGACACGCGGGCCTCGTCTGCCCCGAGGCACGCCCTAAGCCTCTCAGCCAGGGCGTCGGCCGACGGGCCACTGGCCGCGCCGGGGACCTCCAGTAGACGGGCTCCGGTAGCGGTCACCTTGACCGCAAACCCGTCCGGGGCCCCGAACTCCGCAGGTGTTACCGCCCCCTTGAGCTTGGCGAGGACGTCACCATAGGTAACGCCCCTATTGACCGCCTCGGGCTGCAGTGTAATAACTACAGCCGCGGTCTTAGGGGCGAGGAGCAAGGCAGCAGCGCGTTTCTCCCTGCGCTGCTGCTGCCGTCGCTGCCGCTGCGCCTTTTTGCGGCGCTTTCGGCCCTCCCTGGCGACTCTCCTCGCCTCGCCGGCGATTTGCCAACCGCCGCCGTCCTCCACTCGCGGGGCGGGTTCCGCCGCCGCTGCTGCAACTCCAGCTTGCCGGGCTGGAGTGTCCCTCCTCTTTTTGCGCCTCATGGGCGCAGGCGCCATCGGCGCAGCTGGGGTCTGCGCCGGCGGGGGCGCCGAGGGCCTCGCGGGAGGAGGCGCCCGCGCCTTTGCCGGCGGTTGGGGGCCGCGGCCAGCCTGACCAGTGGAGGTCGGAGGCTTGGCCACAGCAGCCGCGTATGAGCCCGATGCCGCGGGCGGGGAGGCCCGGCTCGATGCGAGCGGGGGGCGCAAAAGCCTGCCCTCCAGCACGTCAAAACGTCGCTGGAAGGCAGCCATCTCCGCTCGCAGCAGTCCGACTACGTCGGACTCCGCCGGGGGCTGGGGGTGACTGCCGCGAGCAGCGGCGAGCTCGGCCCTGGCCGTCCGCAGCTCGGCCTCCAGGGCCGCATTGGAGGCCGCCAAGCGCGCCAGCTCCCGCCGCATCTCGCCCAGCTCGGAGCGCACCTTTTCTGCAGTGGGCACCGCGCACTGCTCCAAGGCTGCCTCCGTAATAGTGGCCACCGCCGCCCTGAGGAGGGAGAGCCTAACCGGCTGGGATTTCCCCATAGCCAGTTTATGGAGCACCTCCGTGATGGCCTGTCGGAGGTGCCCGGAGCCGCTCGCGCTCTCGGAGCCCGACTCGCCCTCCGAAACCTCCACGCCGGACATCTCGGCTGCGGAGGACTCTGAACGGGCAGCGCTCGAGAGAGCCCTGCCCTCCGCAGCCAGCGCTCGGCTGACTCCACGCAGGCAACTGGTGCCGGTTTCCGGCGACCGCCGCCCTTGCCGCCCCTACCCCGCGCCGCCGTTGGGACTTTAGGGGGAGGCGCCTGCGCGCCGGAGGACGGGGACGAAGCGTCCTCCTCCAGCCTGGGACGCTTAAACGTCCCCGTCACGCGACGGCGTGAGCCCTTCGAGCTCACGCTCAGCCGATCCGCCAGTGATGTGTCGGACTCAGGGTCCGACACCATCGTAATTGATGCCCGTGTGTGGGGCACGCTAGATGTGTCCAGCGTCTCCCCACGGGCGCCAGAGCCCTTGGGCCCCTACTACGTCTGCAGGTGAGCCAAGCTCACCCGCACTCTCCTCCTCCGACAGTTGTGGTTTTGTTTTTTAGATTTTTTCTCCATACAGTTCCCACGAGTATGGGGGAAATATTCGGTCCACCCAGGCAGTGCCCCCTGTACCTGGGTAAGTGTTCATTTGTTTCCCAACTAGAGGTTCCACTGGTCCCCTAGCTGGGGGTGCGCTCGCGACTGACACTACTCCTCAGCCATGCATACTCTCGCCGCGCACCAGAACTTAGTATTGGAGGAATTTTTTATAGAGGTTATCTTCCTCGCGGTCCGGGCGACCAAGCCAAGACCCTCGTCCCGTTCAGAGTCACAAAACATGACCGTGACCTCCTTACGGGTTACGATATCGACGGCTGCAATCGGGGACAGCTTGTGTCCCGATGCTGCTCGCTGGCAGGGTGAGTGCACAACGAGCACCGCCCTTGCCTCTACGCCACGCTCTCTGCTATGTCCAGAGAGACGGGCGGAGAAACGCCCCTCGGAAGCGCGGGCTATGAGCCTCCGCACACAGCCCGCCGCCTCCAGAACCCTATCGGGTTCGCCCGCCCAGTCCAGAAGTCTGCTGCGGGCGACAGTCACTCCAACCCTATCACCCCCGCTAGGGAGACTGTCGCCCGCACCCAGGGTGCACCACGGGGAGGTCTTCTGGCACCGCACCCCACAGGTTTGGTCTAGCGTGCCAATTTTAATGGTTAGAATGTTATAGTGTAGTTTTTCTTTATACTTTATTTTTTATTATTAGGCACTACAAAGAATCGAAAGTGATTGCTGAGTAAAGTAATTTTAAAATTTTAACTTTCAATTTTAACAAGATTTCTTGATTGCCCAGAATTGATATTACAGAAATGTGTAGTTGTGTTCGTCTGAGCTCAAAACCAAGATCGTGAATTAACAATCCTACCTTACAGCTACTCAACCAATAAGACATAACTTCAAACAATTTTATAGCAAATATTCCCTTCAAACATCCAACCACACCCCTTACAAAAACCTATATCCATACAAAATATCATTTGGAAGGCATAAAGGATTATCTGGTTACGTATTCTGCGAGGGGCCTTCGCGCGTCGCCAGTCATCGCCCTTTGTCCTGCCATTGGCGTACTGTTTTTATTATGAAAATCACGGCACTTGCTTACGCCGTTGTAAATACGGGCATGTGTCATGCGTAATGTCACCTGCTTACCAGCTGTATTGTTTTTGTGATGAGTGCTTACATTTGTACGACCACGACCTGGTTCTGCGGTTTGCGTTGAAATTACACTGCTTTTTGTTGTATGGTACGCTTAGGCATTATTTTTTTTGTAGTTTGTAAATACGAGCGTTTTGTCGAGGTCTACGAGAGATCGAGTTGCTACGGCGTAGTAGTTTGCTACGCCTGCTACGCGGTCGTAGCCGTAATGTTAATTTGTTGCTAATGATAATTATTTTACTTCACTACTAATTGATGGTATTGTTCAGTATTTTGATCTAAGTTAACTTGTTTCATCCTATGTTTATCCAGAAAAATATATTTTGACAAAGCTTTGTTAGTTCGATTGAATATTATGTCAACAATTTTATTCATTAAAAACAGTCCGACATAAAAGATATTCGATGAGTTTGACGAACTCTTTAACTGTGTAAGAATACTATAATCTTTTTCTTACAAAAAATCCCTCGTAATGGAAAATCTAATCTGAATAAAGGTCACAATTTCAATTTGTTTTTTATCATCCAAATTTTCCCTGTTCCCTCTCCATCTTGATGCTTGATCTCTTAAAATACAAGCTCATTTGTTTGACTACATTCAAATGGAAAGCGATGGCAAGTTCATGGTAAAGTAGGTATTTTTATTCAAAAACTTCCCTTTCAACTTTACTGAGAGGAAAAAAATGGTTCGTTGAATTTGTTTTCCAATGATCTCATTGTATAGCTATACCTACTTTCTGTCTTACAAAACTTTTTGAATTCTGAATTTGAATTCCTTTTTCAAAAATTCTTTTCGTTTGTTTGTTTTTTTTTAATGATGACGAGCAAAACGTTGAAGTTTGAAAAAGTTTCTATACCTTTATTGAAGATTTGTTTGAAAAACAAACTACTATGTAGGTATTTAAAGCGGTAAGTCATTCTAGCCTTTTTCCTTTGCTTTGAGACAAAGGTGAGGAATAATTGCGTGGGCTCGGGCGTGGGTTTTAACAAATTCTTTGTTTTTCTCTAGTTAAAGAAAGAATTTAATTGAAGTAACTATATTTTGCCGGATTGTTTGACAATAAAGACTGCCGTCTTTTGTAGATTTTACCATATAGATTTTTTCTATACTAGGTTCCTTTTTAACTCGTCGAGTACCGGTTTTATAGACACAATTAAAGAACAATGGGTCGCGGTCACCGGTGACCGCTTGGTGTTTGACAGTTTAATAGTGTTAATGTAATAAAAAACTAGAAATATTCAGTTTATACATAAAAACAACATTTGAAGGTGATTTGAGTCGGGAAACATGTTAAGCTTTAATTTTGTGTCCAATAAGTACTAAAACAGAAATATAACACAAATACCACTAAACTTTTACTACAATCATCGTAAACAAGTATGTAGTAATTGGCAATTAAATTTCACATAATTATGACCACTAAAATTTGCCACAAAATTACATTGTGGTTCAACAAATTTCAAAACTTATTTCCCACTAGATTCTGCCAGCGACATTGCCTACGTTCTTGGGCATAAAGCATGTGTTTATTCATTTAATTAAAATAGTCACAATGGTAAAAAATTTAACTGACAGTGATATTCCTTATCTTTCTTTAGATCTCATCCAAATCCGTCCAGTAGGTTTTGATTGTGAAAGAGTGATAAACAAATCCACCCATATGTCATCCATACATTTTTTTGCATTTATAGTAATAGAAGAAACTCAGAAGTAACACGGAGTCTGGAATTGTGTCCGGTATATGGCAATAGGCTGATCCCTTATTAAATGAGACTCATAACATAAATAGTGAAAAGTGGGTGTTACATTGTATAGTAGCATTAAGTGCCGTAATATACACCTCTGTCTACCCCTTCGGGATGTTATGTGATGTTGTGTTATGTAGTAGTCGTATGTTGTAGATACTAGGTAGTGTGGACGACAAGTGTCGTGTTTAAATGCGCCACCGACCGTGGCCGGCCTGATTTCTTCAGTAAACTACTCACGTAAAACTCTGCCCAACACCTGCACACACAAGGCTTGGTCTGAAATAAAAGCAGAAGCGTTTTAAATAATATTTAAATGCCTATCATCCATCGTAGACCACCAGACGAGATAGCGGTCAAATATCGGCTCATAAAAAAAATAACGGCTTCGGAATCCATCAGAGTTGCTGTTTATAGTAATCAATCTTTTTATTGATTTATAAAGTCACATTGTTTCATACATTTATCAGAAGCAACGAGAAAGTCGATGACTGCGTTTTTGTTTATAGATACCTCAAAATTTATTTTTTTATCGTAGAACTGAAAAAAATTTATGTGATCTTGTTTTTTTTTTACAAATAAAACAAATCACAAATAAATCAATTTTGGAAGACGGAAAATTACCTATCACGACTCGTACACAAAACTGCCATGCGATGCGATGGGAATTCGTAACGCAAAAAATTACGATGCCCAGGGTTACCATTCCTTCGACGACCGTCAACTGTACTAAACGTATTTTAAATTGAAAACTAGGTTGTAACATGGGTCGTAAAAAGAAGAGTGCACTTTTGTAATTGCTTAGGAGATACAGGAAAAAGAAACAAAGAAGATAAGATTTTGATGCGTGATGCGAATCAATTTGCAAGTTCTTGCGATGCGTAGAGGGAGTTCGTACATTTTTGCTATGCGACGTTGCATCGCAGTTTTGTGTACAAGCCCTTAAGCCATTTTATTGTTTTTTTCCGTTTGTATATTTACTCTAAATGACGCAATTTCTTATGACTTGGACCACACATATTGTTGTACCTGTATTACATTTTATGTTTACGATTGTGTCCGGGGGCGGCCGTCCGAAGATGCATAGTTATGTTACTAGCTAGTGTCTGAACGCTCTAAGGAAAATCTTGAAACTTTTGTTAGAAAATTCTTTTTTATTTTACAAAGTACATGCTTGTCGTTATGTACACAGTCTGAGCACTGTCTGAGTTTTTATGCACTGTGCTTTGAAAGAGAAGTTTTTATAGAAGATGTTATTGAGGTATGAAATTGAATCGAGTTTCAAAACAATAGTTTTTTTTTAAACTATCAAACGATTCGTTTTGGTGCTTTGGAAATATCACAAGTGTAGAATCATATTATCACCCCCTAACTTAGAACAACAGACTAAACATACAAACACGACATTATTTGACCTATAAACTGAATATATCTCACGACGTCGCGTCACACAATAACTTCCCACGACACAAATAGCGTTGCTGTGACGTCATTCCACTAATTAATTCACATATCCTTCGCTCTGTTCACACCACTGCCACAATTTATACCACGCACTGACAACGAACCGACAGTAATTTATCACGAGCATTCTATTAATTAATTATTATCGTACGTAGGAATGGTGCGAGAAACAATTTTCATATTATGTTACCTCCATTAATATTTTTGGCGGCGAAATGAAGGCCTTGTTGTTTAGTGGATGTTGTTTGTGAAGTTAAGTTGTGTTGTGTTTACAATAGTATAGTCAAGTGTTACATGATCGAAGGATCAAGGACAAATGTCATGACTTAATAATCGTCGTAAAAGTAAGCAGAGGCGCACATCATGATACTGGGGCCCACTTTCAACCAGTAATTTTATAACGTTCCATATAGAATGGGGTAAGCCTACTGCAGTGTTTAGAGGATGATTCTATATTCCACGCGTAAATATATGAGCTTGACATAAGTTTTGACAAGTGATCGTAAGTGCGATTGCTGGGCTGGCTAGAGTTTGATTCCCGGGTCGAGCAAAGTAATACCGGGTTTAAAAATAAATGTCAGTAGTAGCATAAAGTCTGGAATTTAGCCCGGTATATGGCAATAGACTCACCCCATATTACATTGGGCAATGCAAAATCTTTACATTAAGATCTATTTTTGACATGAGTTGTTTAGAATTTCTGTCAAAATAAAGACCGATCCAGTGATTTTCGAATAAGATCGGTTTGTATGACTTATAGTAGTCAACTCCGTACATTGAATTGTAGTGAAGGTTAAGTCGATGTACTGTTGAGAAACACGTTCCACCCAGCTGCAATAAGTAGTCAGTTTATTGCAATTAAACTGTCAAACACCAAGCGGTCACCGGTGACAGCAACCTATTGTTCTTTAATTGTGTCTATAAATACGGTACTCGACGAGTTAAATTACAATATGATTGAAAGACGATTATTTCTCTCAATCGTCGATAGCTACCAAGTTATAAGTGGACTATAATTATTATATATATGACTGCCTCGTTGGCCGAGTGGTCGCAATTGCGACTGCCGGGCAAGGGGTCTTGGGTTCGATTCCCGCGTCGGGCAAAGTATTACTGGGTTTTTTAAATATTCTCAGTAGTAGCACGGAGTCTGGAATTGTGCCAGGTGTATGGCAATAGGCTCACCCCCTATTACATGGGACTCATAACATAAATAGTGAAAAGTGGGTATTACATTGTACAGTAGTATAATGTGCACCTCTGCCTACCTCTTCGGGGATAAAAGTCGTGATGTTATGTTATGATGTTATGTATAATAATAATAATAATTCGTAATTCAAGTTGTTTTATTAAGTAAAAGTAGGTTTGCCGCGTAAACAGAAAAATGTGCAGTGGTGAAACCGTACCGTTATTGATATCGGCAGTATTTGGTTGATCTTATTGAATATTTTATTGAATTGTTAAACTTGAATACAAAGACACATACATGGTTCATAGAACTGATCTACTTTCATTTTCATCGTAATAATCAATAGTAATCTATTTATTATAATAATGCGATTATTGCTGAACACAGGATCATTAAACTTTATTAATACATTATAACGAGCCCTTTCAAACCCAAATTGAATTTAACGTCAACGACAATGACCTAGGTTATTTTGAACATTAATTACAAGTGAACAATTGAAAATAAATGTTTTGCGTTCAAAACGAGTAAAATAATATTATTTGACGTGACAACCATTAGGATTACTTGTGAACGATCGCTGAGAAAATTAGCTCTGAGATGAATTTAATGGCTTCCAATGTTATGATTATGACAGTCAGTTATATATCTTGTAATATAAAAAATAAATAAAATAGGTAAAAGTACATTATATACATTACTTATTTTTCATGACTATTAAATCAAGATTATCAATAGTTTGCTGACTAATTTATTTATTTGTTTATTTTTAACAGTCACAACGGCAGAAAATCCAATTACAGTAACACCAAAGATTAGTTACAATATCTCCACGTTTGGTTGGTGGATTAGAGATGCAGAAGATTGTTTAAAAAGGTCAGATTTTTCAAGAATTGCTACTGCCCAGTCAATGTTCATTTTTCAGTCGATTAGTCGGCTCTTGCAACACGCGCATATAAAAGCGGGTTGGCGATATAATTCTGTTTCATTTCACATACTGGAGATTTTGGACTGATACCACGACCTCACAGAAAACCGACGTGAAACAATATTAGCGTTGTGTCTCGTCTTGTCAGTGAGGTTACTGAAGGCCCAATTATCCCCCCCCCCCAATCTCTCGAATCCTCAAATTCCTAATCCCCAAAAGGCCGGTACCGCACTTGTAAAGTTTCTGCTGTTTCGAGTGTCCATAAGCGACGCCGATTGCTTATCCGCAGGTGATTGATTATCTCATAAAAAAATCTAATTCAAGTAGGGCAAATTCCATGGTGATGGGAATTTTATAAAACAAAAGGCCAGTAAATTACTCGGTACCACTTGTTTTGATGTTCGTAATAATTGACGAAACACAAACATAAACGAATACCCAATACTGAGAATTTGAACAACGTAGACTGAAAATAAATATTTAATGTAATATTTGTGTTATAAAGAAGAAGATAAAGATATATTTATTTAGTAAAACAGGAGTAATTACAATGTAGTATTTTTTTTGTTAACTACAGAGTCTACATGTTTTGCCATTTGTGGGGTACTAAATCAATCACTTTAGGCAGATAATATCAATCTAAAATCAATAAATACAAAAACAAATGCCAAAGTTTGAATGAAAAAAAATTTAATTATAATGTAAATGAATAACAATAAAAATCATAATAAACAAGTCAAACAGTTTAAATTATGTCAACTGGTGAACAAAATATGTCAAACTTAATAAACAAGATGTCATTATTACAGATATTAAAGATAACAAGATAATAAACAATATGTCCACATTGAGGCGATAAAGAAATAATCAGGGCCGGATTTAGGGGTCCAGAGGCCTCGGGGCAACAAAGGAGTGGAGGCCTCCTTGCCCCAAATTATTTTCCAGATTGAGATCGAGGACGCTCGCTTGATTTCGAGGACGCTCGAAAACGATCGAGGACGCTCGATTGATTTCGAGGACGCTCGATAGATTTCGAGGACGCCCGATAGATTTCGAGGACGCTCGAAAACGATCGAGGACTCTCGATAGATTTCGAGGACGCTCGGAAACAATCGAGGACGCTCGAAAACGATCGAGGACTCTCGATAGATTTCGAGAACGCTCGAAAACGATCGAGGACGCTCGATTGCCTTCGAGGACGCTCGATAGATTTCGAGGACGCCCGATAGATTTCGAGGACGCTCGAAAACGATCGAGGACTCTCGATAGATTTCGAGGAAGCTCGAAAACAATCGAGGATGCTCGAAAACGATCGAGGACGCTCGATTGATTTCGAGGACGCCCTATAGATTTCGAGGACGCTCGATAGATTTCGAGGACGCCCGATAGATTTCGAGGACGCTCGAAAACGATCGAGGACGCTCGATTGATTTCGAGGACGCTCGATAGATTTCGACGACGCTCGATTGATTTCGAGGACGCTCGATAGATTTCGAGGACGCTCGATTGATTTCGAGGACGCTCGATAGATTTCGAGGACGCTCGATTGATTTCGAGGACGCTCGAAAACGATCGAGGACTCTCGATAGATTTCGAGGACGCTCGAAAACAATCGAGGACGCTCAAAAACGATCGAGGACGCTCGAAAACGATCGAGGACGCTCGAAAACAATCGAGGATGCTCGAAAACGATCGAGGACGCTCGATTGATTTCGAGGACGCCCTATAGATTTCGAGGACGCTCGATAGATTTCGAGGACGCCGATAGATTTCGAGGACGCTCGAAAACGATCGAGGACGCTCGATGATTTCGAGGACGCTCGATAGATTTCGACGACGCTCGATTGATTTCGAGGACGCTCGATAGATTTCGAGGACGCTCGATTGATTTCGAGGACGCTCGATAGATTTCGAGGACGCTCGATTGATTTCGAGGACGCTCGAAAACGATCGAGGACTCTCGATAGATTTCGAGGACGCTCGAAAACAATCGAGGACGCTCAAAAACGATCGAGGACGCTCGAAAACGATCGAGGACGCTCGAAAACGATCGAGGACTCTCGATAGATTCCGAGAACACTCGAAAACAATGGAGGACGCTCGAAAACGATTGAGGACGCTCGATTGATTTCGAGGACGCTCGATAGATTTCGAGGACGCCCGATAGATTTCGAGGACGCTCGAAAACGATCGAGGACTCTCGATAGATTTCGAGGACGCTCGAAAACAATCGAGGATGCTCGAAAACGATCGAGGACGCTCGATTGATTTCGAGGACGCTCGATAGATTTCGAGGACGCCCGATAGATTTCGAGGACGCTCGAAAACGATCGAGGACGCCCGATAGATTTCGAGGACGCCCGATAGATTTCGAGGACGCTCGAAAACGATCGAGGACGCTCGATTGATTTCGAGGACGCTCGATAGATTTCGAGGACGCTCGATTGATTTCGAGGACGCTCGATTGATTTCGAGGACGCTCGAAAACAATAGAGGACGCTCGAAAACGACCGAGGATGCTCGATAGATTTCGAGGACGCTCGACAGATTTCGAGTTTAAGAATTGAAGAATACCAATTTTTTTTTTTTTTTTTTTTCACATACTGCAATTAATTTTTTTAATGGTCGAGACACGGAATCGAATAGCCAACCTCCGAGGTTGCGGGCAAGTACCATCCCACTGAGCCATTGAGCCATTGGGGTACTCCCTCAAGATGGGTAGTAAATTGGAAGTGCTTATCAGAGCCATTTGAGATTTTGATATTTCACTGATTGCCTGATTGGAGTGAACAAATATAGATCAATGATTTCTGTTTCTGTTAATATTTAAAACTAGCTTCTGCCCGCGACTTCGTACGCGCAATCCCATTTTCACCCAGTTCCCGTTCGTGATTTTCGGTTAAAAGTAAAGAAAAGTATTGTATAATGTAAATCCTATGTCCGTCTCCTGGTTCTAAGCTACCTCCCTGCCAATTTTCATTTAAATCGATTGAGGCGTTCTCGAGTTATAAATAGTGTAACTAACATGACTTTCTTTTATATATATAGATTAATCAAATAATCACGTATGTATAAAGTACTTTAGGCTGTAGGTAAAGGTAAAAGCGAAAAAAAAATATCAAAGAAAAGATGTTTACTAGGTTTACTAGTTGAAATTTGAAAGATTTTTTTTTCTGAAGTCTCTATTGTGGAGGTCCCCTGCTTGTGGAGGCCCCGGGGCTTTCGCCCCGGTTGCCCCCCCCTAAATCCGGCCCTGGAAATAATACAAATAAATTGAACTCACAATCAATGCAAAGTATCATATAAATTCATCTACGCTGTAGTAACATTTTTTTATATTATAATAACTAAATCCACGCCGAGTTTCACGAAGAACAAATTAAATTGATATGTTTGTTTGTTGATTTGTAATTGAAAAGTGACAATATATTGAAATGATAACTTCATAAGATATCGAAAGCCATATATCGTTTGACGGTTAAGTGCTTGTAAGTATAATTACTAATAGACTGGGTCATAGATTGTGTTAGTTTTTTTTAAACTTTGTCCCTCACTAGTATTTTCTCTTACGTCGTGAGTGCGTTTACAAACATACAAGTTCACATACACATGACACCTAGACCTGGAACAACAATTTGTGGATCACACTAAGAGATGCATGGTAGCCGGTTGCCCAGCCACCGCACCAACACGGTGCCATCAAATTATTAAAATCGTTTTATAAATTGTAATTGTATCTCTCATGAGATAATATTATTCTTACTCATTATACTGTTTAACAAGGTAACTTAACTAATATCAAGCTATGGAAGGGACCAGTCGCAGGAGTGGCAAACAAAACCGTTAAGAAGATGTGTGTACGGTTTCACCACTGCACATTTTTTTGTATACGCGGCAACCTACTTCTACTTAATAAAACAACTTGAATTACGAATTGTAATATAGTCAACTTATAACTTGGTAGCTATCGACAACTGAGAGAACTAATCGCCTATCATTCATATTGTAATTTAACTCGTTGAGTACCGCCATTATAGACACAATTAAAGAACAATAGGTTACAGTCACCGGTGACCGCGCGGTGTTTGACAGTTTAATTGCAATAAACTAACTATATAGTGCATCTGGGCGGAACCTGTTCCTCTATACTACATCAACTTCATCTTCACTAGAAATCAATGTATGGTGGTAACAACTCGTACAATATTATCGTTTTTCAATATAATAGAATTAATTAACTAAAATCATGGGTTACTCACGTGAATATACTGAGAAAAGCTCTATTAATTTAGCTCTACCAGTGAGTTAATTTAGTATGTCTCACGATAGTTATTATAAAATAATAGAATTATCACAAAGATTTCTATGTAGTTCTGTTTACTATTGCAGAAGTTGAAAGAAGCTTAAGTTAAGCGATGAACATAAAAAATATGGCAAAGCTCATGTAAATGTTGTGTTACTAGCTACCATATACCAACTTAACGGGTTTAGACGTTAATATTAAGAACACAGACGGGTTATATCTTGGATTAAAACTTCGGGTAAGTACTTTTATGCTTGAAATACGGTAGGTCTTAACACGTAAGTATGTTGTCGAAATTGGTTATGATGAATATACCGAAAATAGGCTCACCCCCTTTTACATGAGACTCATAACATAAACAGTGAAAAGTGGGTTTACATTGTACAGTGACATAATGTGAACCTCTGCCTACCCCTTCGGGGATAAACGGCGTGATGTTATGTTATGTTATGTAATTCTTAAATTAACTCATAAACATACACAATTACTATTTCATACTTACCTAATAAAAACGTAATTATCACCACAATCCCAAACATTTAGGACAGTTACCAGAATATCATACGTATACATTCAATACGTAGTCCGTACGTGGGTACCTGTACAAAAAATCTAAGTAACGACTAGCCTTACACTGTATTGTATACATATTTTTTTATGGGAAAAACCGGTAAACTTCCAGGCGAATCACCTGATGGTGAGCAATCGGCGTCGCCAATGGACTCCTGGAACACCAGAGGCGTTACAAGTGCGTCACCGGCCTTTTGGGATTAGGGATTTAAGTATTGATGGGGATTCGGAGATTGAAGAGATTGGGGAGGGGAGTAACTGGGCCTCCTAATGTTATACTATTATATAAAGCGGAAGAGTTTGCTTTTTTGTTTGTTTGTTCAAACGCGCTAATCTCCGTAATTACAAGTCTGATTTGAATAATTATTTTTATGTTCGATAGCGCATTTATCGAGAATGGCTATAGGCTATAGAACATCACGCTACGACCAAAAGGAGCTGATCAGAGCGTGTGAAACCGCGCGGAAGTAGCTAGTATAAAACATAATTTTCATAAACATCTCAAACATCTAGGTAAGTTAGTAGAATACGTACTCATAAAGTCTGTAGTCTGTACTTACATGCACAGACTTACACGTACACTTTATTGTATATATTTTATCATAACAATAAAATTGACCAAAGTCGCAAGTAAAACATAGTACATTTTTATTCAATACAGTAGAAACGGACTCACAAACCGAGTTCCCAACAAATTGGAGAGTGCTTTGTATGTGTCAAGTAGCTCAGCGGCTGTTCACAGGCATTCGAGAATTTTCTACTCAGTATTATCTTAATGACATCTCTTCATATTTTTTGTTTGTATTCCGTTAAGCCATTGTTGTTTGAAACTTTTTATTTTAAAGGTTAATGGCGTCAATTGAGAGTTTTGTGTTGTTTGTTTTTCAAGGAGGTGAATTTATAAATCCTATAAAGAATTTTCCTGGTTTATCAGTTTTTGTTGTTGATATGGGAAGTGTAGTTGATATACTAGTGAAACTGTTTTAGATACGGGAATACATAGTTCATATTCATCTCAATATAACTAATAAGCTTTCACAGTTTTTCTTCTTCTCATGTTCATTCAAGTTTGTTATGATTATGTTCTTAATAATAATCATGTTCATAGCTTTAAGGATTTAAAAATGTTTGCATGCCAGATGGTAAAATTGTACCAAGATAAAATAAAATATACATATCTTTGTAAGACTTTATATTATGTAACTATATTCAATATAAATCAATGATTCTATTCTATTCTTTTCTATTTTAGGCAACAGTTTTTATTGTTGATATGAAATGTGTACTGGGTAGCCAAATTAAACAAGTTTAGAAAAAGTGATAAGTAACCGTGGGAGTTCCATGCATGTGACACGAATGTGCCGCCTCGATCAGAGTGATTTATTTATTTATTTAAGTTTTATACAATACAATTGCATAAGGAGGACTTAATGCTAACAGCGTTCTCTGCCAGTCATCCTTTGGGTAGTGCAGAAATGTATGTGGTAGGTGGTAAGCTGCAAAAATGTTAGTGGTAGGTAATTATCAAAATTAATAAGGAGCATCAAAGCACACATAAAATACGTATATAATAATATATATAATCATATATATTATTATATAGATAGATATAAATAACATATGTAGATAGATATAAATAACATCATACATAATATAATCTATCTATGAGCCGTATATGAATTTATCGTATATTGAAACAAGATGAAAACTAATAAAAGATGTTATGAAACTGCCAGCTTTCCGCTAATGTACTCACGCGCCCTCCGCTTGAAACTCAAACGACTGGTTGATTTTCAAGCGGTGGTGATACCACAGCTTTACAGACAACCGACGTGATACTACGCTAGCATTGTGTTTCGTCGTTTAAGTGAGGTTACCGGAGGCCCAAATATTTATTTAGATAGCGGCAATAGACATGCCGTTTAACAATAACGACTCTATATCTATATATACTATATCAAAGAAACTACGATAACTAATTAGTAAAAGTGCCACAAACAGAAACAACTTTTATAATAATCTCCTTTATAGTTGCCAGTAGAATAATATCACCTTTTAAAATTAAATGAACTCCTTCTATAAACATTGAAAATAATGAAATAAAATACATATATTTAAAAGAAAAAGTTTCATTTTAACCTCAGGCAGCATAAATGAATAGGCTTATTGTACAAAGGTTAGCAGGTTAACTTATCCAAATCTGTATTTTTTTCATTGGATTTACGACTTTATATCAAAGCAGTGCAGTTGAAAATCGAATAAAGAAATTTGACAGAAAAGAGTAGCTTGTCCTGCTGTCGATTGTACATTCTTGCCGGTTTTATTCAGAATACTTTCTTTAATACCCCAGATTTCTGTGAAGGAAAGGCCTAAGCTCCTCTGATTGCCCTCATACATATTAGGGTATTCACAATGATTTCTGAATGATGAGCGAATTTGAACCGTATGAAATGAGAGTAAAATTTTATATGCAGTCGCCTAATTTAGTTTTAATAGGATCGTTTTTTGAATGGGTGTATTTTACACTATTGGGTATGTTGGTTTGGAATAAAATAAATACATATTTGCATTTTCAGCTCAGTTTTTTATACAAAAATTAACTAGGTATTAAACCTAACTATGAAACTAGTAAAATAATAGATTGCATCTACAAAAAGAGTATAACAACTGACAAAAATCAAAACTATATTTTAAAATATGTATTCAATTGTCCATCGAAACAGTTGTTACAAAAGTCTGCATACAAAAATAGTAGTGACATCGAGCCAGGGACCCATAAAAATATTTGTCAGGCAATTTATTGTTCGACATTCAGTTATTGTCTAGCCAAGCCGCGCCAGTTCACTTTATCGTCCCTCACACGCACGTTTGACTAA